TGTCCTATGGCAGAAACATATTACTGTAATCAGGGAAAATACACTTTTAATGTTTAATAGGAATTATCTCTTTATTATTATTAAAGGTTATTTTTACACTAAATTTAAAAGACTTGGCTGTAATCCTTGATTAAAAGATAATCCTCACACTGCTGGGTAGCTAAATTTCCTTTTTTTTTTTTTTTTTTTTTTTTTTTTTGAGACAGGGTCTCTCTATGTAGTCCTGGCTGATCTGGAACTCCCTATGTAGACCACGCTGGCCTCAACTCACAGAGATCCAGTTGCTTCTGTCTCCCCAAGGCATGTGCCACTATACCTGGCTTTTGGCTTTTTTAAAACCATGATTTCTGGGGATTGAAATCAAGTCTTCATGTTTGCAAGGCACTTTACCAACTGAACTGTCTTCCCAAGCCTGATGTTCTTGCCATAAGTTGGCATTTTTGTCTACTTTGCTGCCACTCTCAATATGGCATCAATCCCCATCAATATGGCAGTCAAATCTGAAGTAGTGTCCCAAATTCTGAATTGAGAAAATGAGAATATTAGAAGTTTATATGGACTTTGAGAAGAATGGTGGGGAAGGTAACCTCTTTCCTTCTGCATAAAGTGAAGAAAAAAATACTAACTTAGCTGGGCGGTAGTGGCACACGCCTTTAATCCCAGCACTCAGGAGGCAGAGGCAGGAGTATCTCTGTGAGTTGCAGACCAGTCTGGTCTATAAGAGCGAGTTCCAAGACAGCCTTCAAAGCCACAGAGAAACCCTGCCTCGAAACCCTCCCCCCCAAAAAAAAACCCTAACTTAGAGATCCAGACTAAGCACATAGTTTGGTGTCTGCTGCTATACGAAGCACTTACCTAGGGAGCCAGTAGTTTTTCTTTGCAATTGCTGACCAGATGAGACTCCCTTGTAGGTTGTCTGTGACTGAGTCTTAAAGAGTGGCCTTTCTGATTATTGGTGGCTTAATATAATTAAACTCCTACCATGTGAAAACAAGCTCGTTGGCATTCTTGGGTTATCCTCAAAGCCAAGTCCTCTAAAGCTAAGATATCACAAGTTCTTCAATGGCTTCATTGTGTTTTTATCACAGATTTTTATATAGTGAACAAGAGGCACTTTCTGTAGGTTTTTCGTCGTCTCTTTGTACTTATTTACATGTTGATTTATTTCCTGTATGTTGGCCACAAGCCTAAATTGACAGTTTTGGTTTTGTTTTGTTTTTTTGTTTGTTTGTTTGTTTGTTTTTAATCAGCTTAACTTGGGTTCTGTGCAATATGTGGTATGTATAATAAATATCTCCCCTTTAGGTTTCTGAGTATGATGTTGGGGTCATGAGAATAGAGAGTCTAAATGGGAATTAGTGGTTAATAGGCTTTTCCCAGGAGGTCTGCAGCCAACCCCATCACAGAAGCTTTCAAATTAGACCTTTCTTGACCTTTGTACTCTGAATTGTGGTACTGAACACAGCTGTTGTGAACAGAGGTCCAGAAATTGATATTTAGCTAATAAATATGTAAGAAATATCTATGGACTAGATAGAGAACAGTATCCCAGAAAGAGAGGGACAGTAACAGTCAAGCAGTTGAGTAGATTGCTGTGTTGTCTCGAGAGGAATGAGGGTCCTCTAAGGGCTGCTGTAGACAAGAGCAAGTACTCTGACAAATGCATTTCATGTTTATGGATGCTTTGCCTGCAAGTGTATCTGTGTTCCACGTGGTGCCTGGTGCCTGCAGAAGTCAGGAGAGAGTGTCAGAGACCCTGGAACTGGTCTTACAGACAGTTGTGATGCACCACATGGGTGCTGGGAACTGCAGGTGGGTCCTGTGCAAGAGCAGCAGATGAACATCTCCACTCCCTGGAGCATGTGTTCTGAAACAGCTTGCAAAGAGCTTATGTATAACTCAAGTGCCTGGCCCGTGTTTGTGCCGCAGATCCTGTTGGCTGTCTGTCAAGGTCTATTGTGAGCCCTTTCAAATGCATTGGATTACAGCACCAAATGTGGTGGTTCAGTATCAGATCTCAGCATTTAAGGGCTGAGGCGGGAGGATTGACGGTTTACCCATCTCAACTAAACATTGAATTATAAATGAATATCATACTTAAATAGCCATTAAATATTGTAGAAACAAATTCATGATATACTAATAAAGCTTATATAGCAAGTAACAAGATCTTGTGGCAATCTGGAAATTTATCATAATTTCAAATAGTGACATATGTAAGTAAAACATCAACAGTGCTGCAAACCCTACAGTATGATATGAAAATACTTGATTTCTATTGGTGGAAGGCACCAAATGTAGCAGCAACCTGGACCTTAAGTGTTTATTTTGTACACCTGAATGAAGGAGATGGGTTTTTGGAGATATATATATATAGCTAATAAGGCGAGATTATGGCATACAGCTAATGTGGAGGTCGGAGGGCAACTTACAGAGTCAGTACTCTCCTACCTATGAGTTCTGGGGATTGAAATCTGGTCATCAGGCATGGCAGCAAGTGCCCTTGCCACGGAGCCATCTTACCACCCCTGTCATATATATTCTTTTGACCCTAAGCCCTCTTTACCCAGTAGAGTATTCCTAAGAAATTAAACACATTCCTGTGGATGACGGGAAACTGCTGTGTCATTGCTAGCCAGGAGCAGAACCAAGAGCTTTCTCCTACAGATCTGAAAAGACTTCTTGTCACAAGTTGAGTAGTTGTTTTCCAAAGGACCAAGAGAAACTTACAGAAGTATGGGCAGTGAAGAAGAAATGCACTCTATAGATACCATGCTTCGTGTTAACTTAGCTCATTTAATCATGTTAATTCTAGCAGTTATTAACATCTACAACCCTATACCACTTCAGAACCCCAGAAGTTCTACTGAGATCTTATCCCTTAAATTTACATCAATTTATTTGCTAGCAAATCATTAACCAATCCGAGGCTGTTTGTAATCTTTATACTTTTTGATGTGGAAGTATCAATGCTTAATTACAGAGTCCTGCCCAGACCTCACAGGAGTGTTAATAAAGCATAAGTTATAAATTCTATGGTTTGTTTGGGAATGGTGATGGTGGTGTTAATTCAAAGAATTTTTCAGAACACTTTTGGCTTTGGGAGATTCCCGTGAGAAAGTTGAAGATAAAGAGGAGTTGTTTATTCTGTATATATGTTATGTAAGCATCTGAAAAGGGACCATGTCATATCACTGAGTATCATTGAGTTCTGTGTTTTGAAAGAAGACTGTTGAAGCCTGTCATAGTGGTACACAGTTGTACTCCCAGCACTAGGAGGCAAGTCCGGACCACCAAAGGTCAGAGCTGGCCTGGCTGGAGATATTATGACAGACTTTGTCTCAAAAAGCAAAGGTCATGGTGGTAGCATGTCAGTGCACACCTTTAATCCCAGAACCCGGGAGGCAGAATCAGGTGGATCTCTTAATTCAAGGCTAGCCTGATCTACAGAGTGAATTCCAGGACAGGCAGGGCTACACAGAGAAACCCTGTCTCGGGGAAGAAAAAAAAAAGTCACTTGGCCCTGATGTAAAATACCTCAAGAAGTGTTTTTAAAGTCAAGTCTGCCACCGTGTGATTATACTTAAAACCTCATTTTTTTTTCCTTTTCTGGTTGTATCCAGAGAATAGCAGCAGGAATGTTCTGTTTGGAATATATGCTACACTTTACAGTGTGTTGGGTGGAACTGGCTAGGGAGGAAATCCAGGTGACCTAACTCTGGCATTAAGATTGTGCTTATTCCCCTTATCCTTGGTCTTCAGAAAGCAGTCTTAGCAGGACCAAAATAAATAACCTGGTAAGTGTCTTGTGACTAGGATAGTGGAGATGGCATTCTTATAGGCCAAAATAATGACGTTATGATATCAAAGTGTACCTGGTAAAATTAATGCATTTTTCACTGGTTTGTTTCTGAAATGCCTCACTCAGGAAAAAAAGATTTTTATTTTATTTTGCAAGTGAAAATCATCAACATTTTCTTCCACATTAAACTTTTTCTTTTGGTTAAACATTTTTTTAAACCTTTTCTGTTCTTTAAAGATTTGTTATTTTTATCTGTATGAATCTTATGCTTGAGTATGTGTATACGCCTGATGCTGCAGAAGTAGAAGGACCAGGTCCCCTGGGTGGTGGTAAGCTGCTGAGTGGATGCTGGAAACTGAACCCATGTCCTCTGCATGAACAAGTTCTCTTAACCGCCAATCCATCTCTCCAGTGCCTATTAAACATTTTATTTAAACTTTCATTGTGTTTTTCCCAAGATTTTCTTCTTGTGGGATTATCAAACTTCACTTTGGGTTTTGTTTGTTTGTTTGTTTGTTTGTTTGTTTGTTTTTTGAGACAGGGTTTCTCTGTGTCTTTGGAGGCTGTCCTGGAACTAGCTCTTGTAGAACAGGCTGGCCTCGAACTTACAGAGATCCACCTGTCTCTGCCTCCCGAGTGCTGGAACTAAAGCGTATGCCAACACCACCTGGCTTGGGTTTGCTTTTTGAATATTAAGCATATATTTTGTAAAATTAAACAAACTTCATTAATATTGGAGTATTATAAAGCATTAATGGAGCTAAACACATCAAGGATAGCTTGTGCCTGTTTCTTATTTAAAAAGTGGTTTTTATTGGGATTTAAAATTCTCTTTTCCACTAAAAAACCCAGTGACACTGTGGTATAATATAAAGTTCACATTTGGTCTTTGTCCCTCATTCCTGGTATAAAACTCTTCTAAAACCCCTGTTATCCTGAGTAATAAATAATAGGATGAGGAATGACCACATTATTAGAGGGTTGCAGTGGCTAGCCAGAAGCAGGCAGGCAGACCATCAAGGCTATGGAAGCTTCTGTGCTGGCAAACACATCACCATGCTGGGAGAGTGCTTAGCCCACAGGTGGAAGCTCTAAGCCCTCACCTGGCATTAGGTGGTATGGGAGAGCCAGAGAATCAGTATTGAAGCATGCAGGCTATCTTATCTGTTTGCATCACCTTGATATTCTTCTTTTTCAGTATCTGACCAAACAGGTAGAGCTTCTACGGCAAATGAATGAGCAGCATGCAAAAGTTTATGAGCAGTTAGATGTCACAGCAAGAGAACTGGAAGAAACCAACCAGAAGCTAGTTGCTGAGAGCAAAGCCTCACAACAAAAAATCATAAGGTAAAATTTCTGTTACTGAGGGCAATCTACAAAGGAGTTATTTAGCAACTAATTTGAAGTAGAATGTGCTGTTGAGGGTTTGGGCAGTATTGGACAAAGGTTCATTATTTTAGGGGAATGGGGATTAATTTTAAGTCCTTTTCAATTAAGAAAGGCAAGTTTGAGTGGCTCACACCTAATCCCCCTTCATTGGTTTTGATCTTAATTTAATGTGACAAGCAGCAACCAGCTTGTGTCTTATTCACAGCCTGACGGAAACAATTGAATGCCTGCAAACAAACATTGATCACCTCCAAAGCCAAGTGGAGGAGCTGAAGTCTTCCAACCAAGGAAGAGGGAGGCAGAAGACATGTGACCGGGAGAAACCAGCACCCAGCTTCTCCTGTCTGAAAGAGCTGTATGACCTCCGCCAGTAAGAGCCTGCCTTGTTGTGGATTTTCAAGCTGGGAATATCCCATGTCATTGATACACTCTGGATTACCATAGATGAAAAGCTCCATTTCAAGAAGTGCCCCTTGCCTGTTAAGCCATTAGTAGTTTAAACAAAGCCACTGAACTTAAATGTAACAGTGAAAGTTTATTGGCATCTATAATTCTTTTCATTTTAATCTGTTAAATATTAGTTTAAAATTAGTAATACTTCTGCTACAGTATAGATTTGGGGGATATATTTCACATTAGACTGAAAGAAAAAAATGAAAATTTTGGAAGCTGGGTGTGATGGTGCATGCCTCTAATCCCAAAACTTAGGAAGCATGGGCAGACTCTATGAGTTTGAGGCCAAAACATAGCAAGTTCTAGGACAGCCAGGACTATGGAGAAGAGACCTTGTCTCAAAAGAAAAGAAGACAAATTTTGGTAGAACAAAAATTGAGGCAAAAAAGTATTTTCACCTAAAAAAAGTGCCCTTATAATTTGTAGTTATGAATTTGAGTCTTTAATAAATACTTACTAAACACCTGTTAACACTGCAGTTGATGTGCCAGTCATCAGGAATGATGGCCAAAGTAGACATGACCTTTCAAGAAGTCAGATGCTCCACAACCAAAAAATTGCACTCAAGCTGCCTAAGATGGGATAGGAGAGGCCAGTTAATGTTTCTCCCCCTTTACTTTTTGTCACACTACTTATAGAGATTTGAGGCTTTTGAGATAAGATCTCATACAGCCCAGCTGGCCTCAAACTCCTGATCCCCCTGCCTCCATCTTCCAAGTGCTGACATTGCATGTGTGTACCTGGCACTGTGGATGTTTTCCAAGAGCAGATACTAACTCTCAGGTCAGAATTTCTTGGCATGAACCTAAAGCTGTCCCAGTGCTGCTGATGTGTATCCCTAGTTAAAAGTCTAAACATCATGTTTCTTAACCTTGGCCACACATTATGGAGAACAAACATTTAAAACCATGTAGATCCAAGTAGCAAACCAACAAGGTCAGAATGAATGGTGTGAGCTCCAGGTTTTTAAAACTACCCAGCTGTTTGTGATCTGCAACTAGAGATGAGACTCTTCTTGTCCATCACATTTCTTGTAAGCAGCTGTCATTCTGCTGGTTTACAAGTGAGTTTTCTAAACTACTTTTACTATTCAGGGGGTGGGGATCAGTCACAAAATTGTTATTTGCTTTCAAGAATTTTCCAGCCTCATATAGTTTAATTTTAGCCACTGCTTGTAGCATTGAATGAGCTAAAAATTGGTGTCACAGCTCTTTAAAAAGATTTAGTTTAAAAACCCCAGCAACTTCCTTTGTACCATCAATTGACATTTAATTATTTCCATATTTCCTCATAGACACTTTGTATATGACCACGTGTTTGCTGAGAAGATCACTTCCTTGCAAAGCCAACAAAGCCCTGATGAAGAAGAAAATGAGCACCTGAAAAAGACAGTGACAATGTTGCAGGCACAGCTGAGCCTAGAGAGGAAGAAGCGAGTGAGCGTGGAGGCAGAGTATAAGGTGGTACTGAAGGAGAACTGTGAACTAGAGCAGCAGCTGGGTGCCACAGATGCCTACCGAGCCCGAGCACTGGAGTTGGAGGCAGAGGTGGCTGAGATGCGGCAGATGCTGCAGTCAGAGCATCCTTTTGTGAATGGTGTTGAGAAGCTGGTACCCGACTCTCTGTTTGTTCCTTTCAAGGAGCCCAGCCAGAGCCTGCTGGAAGAGATGTTCCTAGCTGCTCCAGAAGCACATAAAAAACCACTCAAGCGCAGCAGCAGTGAGACGATGCTTAGCAGCATGTTAGGGGGTGATATCGTGAAGGGCCATGAAGAGACTTGCATCAGGAGAGCTAAGGCTGTGAAGCAGAGGGGTATCTCCCTTCTGCATGAAGTGGACACTCAGTACAGTGCCCTGAAAGTGAAGTATGAAGAACTACTGAAGAAGTGCCAGCAGGAGCAGGACTCACTGTCACACAAGGCTGTGCAGACCTCTAAGCTGCCGGCCAGGGACCTGACAGGACTGGTAACCCAGTCTGAGGCTGGAGCCAGTGGCTGGGAACCCACTCCTGTTACCCCAGAGCCCATCAGTTCCCCCACCACTACACCTCCAGAATACAAAGCACTATTTAAGGAGATATTTAGTTGCATCAAGAAAACAAAGCAGGAAATAGATGAACAGAGAACAAAATACCCATCTCTCTCTCCTTACTCTTAATGATACCTCCAGTTATGATCTGCTGGTTTTCTCTCATCCCCTCCCATTCAGACACATAAGCGCAATTTCCAAAGCTTCATGTTGCTAAAGATACTTGTCTCATTGCTTTGCTTAATTGGCAAAAGCGGGAAGAGAGATGGCTGATAATGTTGACTCTAGGGTCCCTAGGAAGTCTCATGATAGACTGGCCTCTGGTTGGTGCATTGATTAGGTTGACCTCCAGGAAAAGCCCTAGAACCAGTGGAGGGGGATCCATGTAGCTGGGGTAGGCTAAAGCACCAACAGTGTGGGGCAAAAGACAGAATTGGAACAAGACTAAGGCTGTTCCTATTGCTTCCATACTCAGCTTCTCAAACTACTTGGAACTCCATGGTCTGCTTAATTAACTAAAATGCTTTTCAGAAACACCCATTCCAAAGAATGTTGAGAAAGCTGAAATCTAATTGGAAATATGACATTAACAAGCTCCTTAAACCCCTAAGTTTTGTTGCATCTGCTACCAGTTGAACGATGACTGACAGGTAATCCTAATATTTCCAAATTCAAATGAATGCCAGTTGAAATGGCAAGTTTTGTTTTGATTAATGCCTATTGGTATATGCCGAGCATTCAGCTGTTTTACTCAAATCTATATGTAGTATTCTGTTTTCAAATAGAAACTAAAGGAGAAATGTTAAGGTGTGATCTGCGCTGACCACTTGGCAGCACAAGCTGCTCCTACTCAGTTCTTAACATTCCTAGACTTGCAGAAGTTCCTGTCTACTGCATTACACGGTATTGATGTTCTGACTGTGGAAACACTCTTCTCACTTGTACACTTTTAATTTAAAAATATTTAAGAGAACCATGGTTCTGATTGTTGTATATATTTTTCTAAAAGCCAAATAAAGCTATCTATGAATGTGAACAAATAAATTACTGCCTGTTTTAAGCTTAATGCCATTTTACAGTTGAAACAACTGGCTTTTCCCCAATAGATAGCTCTAGGGAATTTGAAAATAATTTCTCCTTATTTACTTTTAAGCAAGAAACCCTTGGGATTGTATAACTTAATATAAATTCTGTCCATGTTGCTAAATATTATGATTGAAAACATTTTCCAGGGACTGGAGAGGTGGCTCACAGGTTAAGAGCACTGGCTACTCTTCCAGAGGTCCTAAATTCACTTCCTAGCAACCACATGGTGGCTCACAACCATCAGTAATGAGATCTTGTGCCCTCTTCTGGTGTGTAGGCATATATGTGGGCCAAACACTGTATACATAATAAATACAATCTTAAAAAAAGAAAACATTTCCCACTATTTCAGAAGTGTCTGGCTTAGTTCTGAATTCATAGCATTTAACTATTTGGTTGTTAAAGCATCCAATCAGTTAATCATAGTTAAAAACTTTTCGATGTTTGACTATTGGGCTGGGACAAAGGCTCAGTTGAGTAAAGTGCTTGTGTAAAGACCAGAGTTCATGCCACAGCACCCGAGTAAAAGGTACGAGCATGGTGCATGTACATGCAATAGCACCCATGCTATTATGGGTATGGAGGCAGACACCAGCAGATCTCAAGGACTCACTGGCTCTAACCAATCGGTAAGTTCCAACTTCAAAACTCAAAAAATGAGAGCAAGCGCTACAGCAATATCTCAATGGTTCAATGGTTAAGAGTACACTGCTCAGCCGGGCGGTGGTGGCGCATGCCTTTAATCCCAGCACTTGGGAGGCAGTGGCAGACGGATCTCTGTGAGTTCGAGACCAGCCTGGTCTACAAGAGCTAGTTCCAGGACAGCCTCCAAAGCCACAGAGAAACCCTGTCTAGAAAAAAAAAAAAAGCAGGGAACCCAGGTTAGTTCCCAGTACTGCCTGTAACTCCAGCTCCTGGTGATTGTAATGCTTCTGGCCTTGAGCACCTGCACACATACCTGTACACCTGTGCTTGCGTGTGAAAATACTGTCTTTTCATAGAAGAGTGATGATAGAGGAAGACATTTGATGTCAATGTCTGGTCCACAAATATATCAACACACACAATAACATTAGTCAAATATTATGATTATTGATTCTAAATTAGATGTGTTTTTGAATTAATTCTTAAAAGTTTTGTACTAGTGGCATGGAGAAAGGAACTGAGTTCAATCCCCAGAATCCACATGGTGGAAGAGAACCAAGTGCCTGCCATAAGTTGTATTCTGATCTCCACACTGGTGGCACTTACATGCCCCTACATATACACTCATAAACAAAATGTAAAATAAAAATTTAATTCCATTTTTTGTTTTGGTTTGAAATGGGATTTTACTATATAGCTGTGGCTAACCTAAAACTCACTGTAGACCAAACTGGCCTTGAGCTTGCAGCACTTCTACCTGTCATGTACTAGGATCTGACTATCCACACCCAGCCTCCAGGTTTGTTTTTGAGATGGTCCCATGTAGCTGATGATGACCTTGAACTTCAAACTCCATTTCCCAAGTTGCTGGTGTTATCCTGTCTGGCCTATGCCGTAATGGGGATCGAACCCAGGACTCATGTTCGATAGGCAGGTAGTCGCCAACTAACCTTTTATGGAAAAGTCTTGTTTGTAGTCCAGACTGACCTCACGCTGCTGGTGATCTTCCTGCTTTAGTCTTTCAAGTGCTGGGATTACAAGTATGTACTGCTACTTACAGCTTTCCTGACTACCAACCCAGCTCTTCCCAAAAATCAGCCTACGTATATAATATATATATGTGTGTGTGTGTGTGTGTGTGTGTACATAAACATAATATATATATATATATATATATGTATATGTATATTCCTTTATATTCTTCCCAGATAGGCATACACTAGCACAGCAATGTTTGTTACCCCACATTTAAAAACAAAACTATTGTAAATACTGTATCTTAATGACAGCTATAGTGTCACAGCCTCTATGAGGAGATGGTTTCTCTTCTACAATTACTAAAAATGTAATGGATACATTTGAACATCAAAGTGAAAGTGAAAAGATGAGAGCACTTTGGCATCACTGAACTGTCATACTTCGGGTAACTCCATATTAGGATGCCTGGTGTCTCAAACCCATGCCAATAAGCTTTTAATTTTCTGAGAAAGGGTGTCATGATGTTGCTGAGGCTGTCCAATAAACTTTACTATTAATCTAATAGGAAGATGGTGTTTTCTTAAAAGCTTATATTTACATTTGTCTTATACAACTTGATAAAGTTGTATATTCTTTGGTTTTGGTTTAATTTGTGCTTTTTTGTTGTTTGCTTTTGAGACAGGGCCACCTCACATAGCCCTGTCTGGCCTGGAATTTGCTCTGTAGACCAGGCTGGCCTCTCTCTGCTGGCCTCTGCCTCCAAAGGTGTGTGCCACTGCTGGAAGAGTTGAATATTCCTGCTGTTAGCCATTTGTATTCTCCTTTGCCTGTTTGTTAAAGAGCATTAGTACTTAGGAAGCATACTTTTGCAGTTGAAGATTGCAAATATTTTCTTTGAATATCTTATTTTACTTTTAGTGGAAGTTTGCCAAACAAATTTATAACCATGTTTCTTGACTACAAATTTATAACCATGTTTCTTGACAAGTGCCTTGAATGATTTGTCCCTTCTGTTCCATATTTCTATCCATCTGAACTGTTCCCCACCAAATGAAATGCTACTCATGAATTTGAACCAATTTATACTCTAGGGTCTGATTTTCATATGTATAGGTCAATTTAATGGCTATATTTAGATATTTATATTTTTTATAACTGAAAGGGAAAATGGAATTTCTTTCATAGAATTTTTCCAGATTTGGCAGGGGAGGTGGCATGTTTTTCTCTAAAGTTGTCTAGTTCTTTTTTTTGTTTTTCGAGCCAGAGTTTCTCTGTGGCTTTGGAGGCTGCCCTGAAACTAGCTTTTGTAGACCAGGCTGGTCTCGACCTCAAAGAGATGCGCCTGCCTCTGCCTCCCAAGTGCTGGGATTAAAGGCGTGCGCCACCAATGTCCAGCCTTGTCTAGTTCTTGAATGGAAGTATTTATTGGGGTTGGGTTTTTTTTTTGTTTAGTTTAGTTTTGTTTTAAAGACTTGGTTTTTGTTATTTATTGGGGTTGGGTTTTTTTTTGTTTAGTTTAGTTTTGTTTTAAAGACTTGGTTTTTGTTATTTGTAGCCCTGGCTGTCCTGGGACACCATATGTAGACCAGGGTTGTCTCAGACTCAGAGATCCACCTGTCTCTGTCTCCTGAGTGCTGGGATTAAAGATGTGTGCCACCATACCCAGTTAAAGATTTATTTAATGTGTATGAGTATTTCATCTTCAACATGCATTGTCCACAGAGGCCAAAAGAGGGGACTGGATCACCTGGAACTTGATATCCATTGTTGTGTGCCATCATGTGGATGCTGGGAACAGAACGTGGGTATTTTGCAAGAGCAACAAGTGTTCTGAGCCATCCCTCCAGACCCTTGAAGTTAGTTTTGTCTCTGCCGTTCCTGACTTGGGTTTCTCTGTGTAATAGCCCTGCTGTCCTGGAACTTGATTTGCAGATCAGGGTGGCCTCAAACTCAAGAGATATGCCAGACTGTGCCTCCTGAGTGCTGGGATTACAAGCATGTCACCACTGCCCAATTTGAAATCAGTTTTTACAATTACTTTGTGTTTGCCTGCATGTATGTCTCTACCATGTATGTGCCTGGTGCCCAATGAGACCAAAAGATGGTGTCATCCCTCAGAAGTGCGGTAACAGATTGTTGTGAGCCACCATGTGGGGGTGCTGGGAATTGAACACCAGTTCTCTGAAGAACAGCTAGTGCTTTAACTGCTGAACCATCTATCTCTTCAGCCTGAGGTCAGTTTGTTTTGTTTTGATTTTTTTTTTTCTTGGTTTCTTGAGACAAGGTTTCTCTGAGTAGCCCTGGCTGTCCTGAAACTAACTCTGTAGACCAGGCTAGCTTCAGACTCGGAAATCCACCTGATACAGGGACACCTCTCAAATTTTGCACGTTTTGAAACATTTCTCTGTAGGCTTGTAGCTACTGTTGCATATGAGAAGCTAATGATTCTGGCTGTGTTGTTGAATGATTAGGAGTAGCTTTTACATGGTAGTTCTGAAAAAATAATTTTAACTAATTGATTTTTTTAACTCAGATCTAACTCTTGTCTAACTTGTTTACCTAGAGTACCATAATTGTGATGAGTAAACATACGTGTCAGTCTCTAAAGTGTATGGATACTGTTCTATTAGTTATGGTGCTGGGCTTCTGTTCAGTCAATAATATAAAATAAAAATATTTTAATTTATACCAAGTCGATTTGTATCTAATTAGACAAAATTTTACTTCCACTTTTCCCCTTTATCGTGTACATGTATATATCTTTTCCTCTTTTAGTCACACAAAGTAACATACTGTCATATACTTTGTATATTACCTAAAATGTCTCTTGCCAAATTCTCAGCATACTATTTCTTTCCCAGAAGTCCTGATGTTGTAGATTACTTCACCCGACACAACTGCAGTTTTTACTCTGATCTACATCTATGTATTTCTCTCATCCCTGGTAACCACCATTTTGTTGTTGTTGTTGTTGTTGTTATTTTTGGTTTTTCGAGACAGGGTTTCTCTGTATAGCTTTGGAGACTGTCCTGGAACTAGCTCTGTAGACCAGGCTGGCCTCAAACTCACAGATATCCACCTGCTTCTGTCTCCCAAGTGCTGGGATTAAAGGTATGCGCCACCACTGCCTGGCTGCTATACAGGTCTTATGTTTAGGTGTTTATCCATTTTGAGTTTTTAAATATTTTAAATAAAAGGGCATGGGTGTTTTGTCTTGTGTCTGTCTGTGCACCACCATATGCATGCAATGTTCATGGAGGCCAGAAGAGAGCATTGGATCCCCTGGGACTGGGGTTACAAATGGTTGTGAGCCACCATGTGAGTACTGGCAATTG